ACCCTCCATCGTCATTGACGTATTAATTTGGTGACTAATAATGGCCGGCGCAGATCTAGGGTTGTGAAGAGTGTGCGTCGAGAAGACCGGCTCGGTCGAGCACTGTCGACCCGAAAATATCATCTTTAGAACCGAAACGTCGCTTCATCAAAACCGGCTTGGAAGAATCTTAGGAATTGTCCCTAACGAAAGAGAGGACAAAAAATTTCCCAACAAGAATCACATTTAAGTGGGGATCAATTCGTTGGAGTCACGGAAACATGAATACTTGGTTAAGTTCAACATCATTCAACTTCGACGTATGCGACCGAGTCAAAAGCTTGATGTAGCTAATTGACGACGGCAAATTGTAAACTCCATTTCACGACTAAAGTGCGTTTATTTTACTGAAAACTTTATGATAAGAGAAAATATTTTCTATGAAAATTGTTTTCAAGGAAAATTATTGGTTTTCATTTATTTAGTGGTTTAGGAAAAATGATTTCCTTCTTTTCAGAAAGAGAAATCATTTTCTCTTAATCTAAGCTTGTTGGTTTCAGTTAATCGAAAACATTTTCATAAATCGATTTGTTTTCTATCATCAAAACACCAAAAAGTCGAAAAATAATTTTCTTGAAACAGTTTTTCTTCAAATAATCATAATCACCCAATTAACAAGATTAAGAAAAAAAAAATGAGAAGAGGAGCAGGTTTAAGGGGCCGAAAACCTCAATGATTGAGGTGGAGCCAGACATGAGACACGCCCCCGCCGTCGGAATCAAATGGTCAGTATCGAGCGATCACGCGCGGCACGTGTCTCTTTGCTGATTCTAAAATTTTTTTCTTATTTTTTTTTTCCGTCAATTGTTTACCATAGCCACAAAATTGTGGAAAAAGCAAAAATGCGTTTTGAGTATTATTGTCAAAGATAAGCATTGGCTCAAAGCTTCAATTTGCTTTGGTGAGGGGACCTCCGTCTTTATGTGCTTTGAGAGAGACGAGTCCAATCATGGAGCACCAATCGCATCACACAAGTTTTTCAACCTTTCACACCTACTCTTTCGATTTTGAGTCCTTTTCTCCAAGACTCCATGCTGATTTTCGCAATTTTTTTTCCCTCTATAGGATGTAGATCTAAAGAGGATTTTAACCTTTCAACTTTTGTGTCAAACATTTCACTAAATAGAAAATTATCCAATCGGCTCTAAATTTATCGTACGATATCAATTCAGTTATAAATTTTTTAATTTTGCCAATTTAGTCGTAAATATTTCCACGAAATTTCAATGTAGTCATTTCGACCAACGCGGTGGTGTGCCACGTAGGATGATCGGTAATGATTGGACAATCAAGCCATCGATTTTTTCGGCAAAAATTGGCTGGTTGGGACTACATTGGAATTTCATGCAAAGATTTATGACTAAATTGGCAAAATTAAAAAGTTTAGGATTGTATTGGCATTCGTACAATTGGTTTATGACTGATCGAGTAATTTTTCCTTCTAAAAGATATCCATGTCTTTCCCTAAGGCGTATTGTAATGGGAATATGTAAAATGGATGAAGTAATACTTTAGTAACCAAGACAATTGTCATACAAACTTTTAGAGCAATTGACAACCGTCCCACTAAATTTTACAAACAATGACATGATGCTATTTAAAACATAACGTATAAAGAGATGCATGCAGCACGGAAAGCATTGAGAAATACTAGACACTCACATCACTTAGTGAATTAAATTGTCCAATACCCTAAATGACCCAAAAAAAAAAGAACGATCCACTAAAACCAATCTGTTTAGGGTTTTGTTTACAAGAATAATTATAAAAAAAAAGCGTAATAAATAGTGAAAAAACTCATTTAGGGTGCAAATGACAACAATTTTGTTCCAGAATTCAATTTTTGGCAAGAAATAGATTTTTTTATTTCTATTCCCTCTTTCTAAGCCAAAATACGCGTTTGATAACGACACAAAATTTATATTCCCGAAATAGAAATTTGTTTGATAATGACACAAAATTTCTCCCTTCCAGGCAGCGACGGGAGGCAACCAACAGCGACAGGAGGCGGCCGGCGGCCAACGACGGGAGGCGGTCGGTGTCGGGCGGTGATGGAGGATGGCAGATGGCGGCGGAGGACGGTAGACAGCGGTCAGCCCATGGAGGGCAACGGGTGGGCGGCTGGCTAGTAGCGAAGGCAAGCGATGAGAAAAGTTTTTACTTTTCATTTCTATTTCAAACCTATTTCTAAAATCAAAATTCGTTCCAAAAATTAAAAAAAAATGAAATTGTGTTACCAAATGGATTTCCTCTCTAAACCTGTTTCTGGGAATCAGAAAAATAGAGAAACAAAATAGTTATCTTGCACGCCCTTAAGATTGCAGCACAAAATCATTTTGTCCAACTTTAGGGCTAATAATTCATTTCCTCCCCAAAGTCAGTAGAACCCTTCAACGCTGCCGATCACGATCCCCCCCAATAATTGATGCGATTATTAATGGAATTGATGGCAACACCTAGATATTATTTCCCTTTGAACGATTACTGATTCCCCTGTAGATTTAGCAAGAATCTTTGCTAAGAACCTCCATGCCTGTTCCCAAAATATCAGCTGATTAAAAAATGTAAGCACTTGTTATTAATATGTCGTGGTTCCACGTGCAACATCAATTTAACCCCAAACAGCACCGAAATCAGCAGCATGCCAGCTGTCGCATCTCCAAACCCTAATTTCATATGCATGTATCGCAAATCATAACTTGAATATCTCTGCGTAACACGCATCTTTTGATTTTGATGATTATGAATGTACACGAATGTCTTTTCGCAAGTGACCCATATGTGATGCGATCGACAAAACTTTGTACAAGCTGTTTTAAGAAGTGATGCCAATCATCGCGATTTTCAATGATTGAGCCTAAGTTATTAATGCTTGATTATAAAAGAATTCCGTCGTGCCATTAATGTAAAAAGAAATGCGATAAATTCTCAGTAGATTTTGAAATAAGCGAGGCATACTTAAACATGCTTCGTTTTTTTTTTAGGTCGCGTGGCACAGTGGCTAAGCGAGACATGCTTAGCAGCCTTGTCGGAGTAACACATGACCCACGACCATGGTACCTGCAGAAAGTTCTACAATAATTTTCGGAACCTAATTCGTCGTCTCACATCATAATTTCGAGCCAAAAAAAACAATAAAGAAAATACATCTCACTCCATAATTGAGGTAGATCTGTTACTTAGGGTTTAGCTAGAGTGGAAAATGCTACCAATTTCAGTCGGGACCAGTCGAAAGTTATCAAAGCTTTGAGCAACAAGCTGTCTAGAAGTTCTTGCTCAAAAGCTTCGTCGGATTAGTTGGCCCAACTACCGCTATTTGCTCTCGCGCGGTTCACGTCATCCAATCCTTAACATGATTTTCTTGGGATGATATTGTCTTTGATTCAATTTGTAGACCACCACAATCATACCTAAAAGAAAAGAAAAGAAGCAAAATAAATGCCGGGTTTCACTTAAGAATATATGATGTATAATCGATTTCTTCCACCATGGTAGCAATGTCGCAAGCTTATCTAACTCGAATTTCATATTCCAGACATCAGAGTGGCCGTCGCAACCAGCGAGATTGTCCATAATTGTGTGAAGGCAATATTTTTGTAACATAAGTGCCAATATTATCATATGAATGTCATCAATGGAAATTCATAAAATGCTGGTGAGATTTGGAGCACTATGCAATTGTAGATGTTGTATAGGGCTATTATTAAATCATCTTTTCTTTTCTGTTTTTTGTGCTTGCTCTCGAAATGATGCACACCCGGAATTCTGTATTCCCACTGCTACCTAATTAGACTCCTTATTAATTTCTCATGCAAAACTCAATAAAAAAATGGTTAATTCCACGAAAAACCTAAAATTTGTACATTTGTGATAAATTTACCAAAAATTAATATTTTCACTATAAAAAATTCAAAACTGGTACACATGTGACAAATTTACTACAAACTAGTTTTTTGACTACCTAAAACCCCAATTACCCTCATCTAAATTGGATTAATACCACGGAAAACCATAAATTGGTAAACTTGTGACAAACATAAAGGTTAAAACTCAAACTGGTACACCCATCAACTGCCATGTGTCATTCAACTTAGTAATTTGACGATAAAATTTAACGGAAACTGACAGAGGGTAAATTTGTCACAGGTGTACCGATTTTGAGATTTTAAATTAGTTTCACGAATATATTAATTTAGAGTTTTTCGTATTTAGTAATATTAACCCATAAATAAAAAAAAGTCCCTCGCACCAAAATGGATGATACATAGTACAGAGCATCTTTCCCTGCAAATTCTGATCCAGAAACATCATTCCGACCAGACCCAAATTCTCTGTTCCTGAATTATCCACGGAAGTGGGGGGAGAACTCGCAGGACTCGCCACCGCCGATGAACGACGTCGTCGTATTCGTGCATGCTTCCTTCCCTCCCTCATTTAATTTTTCAGTACCACTTCCCGAAGTGACCTCCCAACTAGGCAGCCGAATTTCGACCACTAGAGTTACGCAACCACCTCCACCTCTTCTTTCCCTCACCAACCTCTATAGGCTACTACCGCACCCGACGCCGTCGCCCGCCACTGCACGGGACTTGCCTCGTTGCTGTCCGGTGCCGGATTGCGATCGGGCCTCTCTCGAAATAAGCATGGTACGTGCGGTTTCGCTCGGTATGATCACGTCCATTATCGAACCCGGCATTTCTGGCATCGCCAGAAGGAAATAAGGCTAAGATTCGAGAGGGGAAATCCACGTCTCTCCGGTTCCTTTTCCTTTTATTATCGACAGTAGGCAACAAGGGAGGAATTGCCAAAAATGAAAGACAGAAAAGAAGAAAAAGCCTAGAAAGAAGAAAAAAACCAACTCCTCCAAGCTTGTCGCAATTTAGAGAGAGCATAGCTCCATGCCATAGTCCAAATTTTTTTTGTTTTTGTTTTACATAAGCAAAGCAGCCTCGCCGCCACCGTCCGAAAGCATTTTTTGAGTTAATTAATGCTAAAAGATACGTAGATCGGTTTACCAAGCGGGTTTACGAAGAGAGACCATGCGAACCGTGAGCGGACATCCGAAAGGTTTTTTTTCGACGACCGGTGAGATCCGGGGTCGCGTTTCTCCCCCGTCATAAACCGATTTGGTAATCCGATCTTCGTATGTTCCGGCATTTTTGCCGCATCAGGGCTTGTGGAAATGCATCCGAATCATGCTTGATGCCCCCCCGGCCGCCCGACGGCGACCCTTATGAAAGAACATTCGTGGAGATCCACGACCGTTAAGGAAGAAAAACTAACACCATGTCGGAAAACGTCGCCGCTGCCGCCGCCGTCGGTTCAGCCCCACATGCCATAATGATACGGGGACTCCACCGGGGCCATGGTTTTCTGCAGGTTCAGGTCCTTGTAGAACTTCCTGATGAACTCCTCCGCCGCCACGTCGACCTCGCCGCCGTCCCCGTCGTCGTCCTTCAGCGGGAACGGCGAGTCCGTGATCCGGAGCTGCCGCACCGCGGGGCTCTTCCCGAACCCGGGCAGCAGCATGGGCGACGCCTCCACGACGTCGGCGCTGTTCAGCATCTCCAGCACCTTCTGGACGGCGCTGATCGCCCCCGCGTCGTTGTAGCGCGGCGCGAGGTGGTGGCGGTGGCCGCTGCTGCGGCGGCCGTGGTGGCGGTGGTGGCGGTGGTGCTTGCCGCGCTTGGGGAAGAAGGGGTTGTTGGCGGGGGTGTTGCTGCAGCTGAACTCGTACTCGCGAGGGGCGAAGGAGGAGTAGGCGGAGGCGGAGGCGATGCAGGCGACGTCGTCGTCGGAGCGGCAGGTGAAGGAGGAGTAGTAGTGGTGGAGCATGAGGTTGCCGATGGCCTTGCCGGCGAGCTTGCCGCGGTTGAGCATGAATTGGAGGTCCACCATGAGCTTGCTCTTGGAGAACAAGCCCTTCCTCATCATGAACGCCGCCGTCCGTACGACGCTCCACAGCTTCTTCGCCACCTCCGGCGTCCTCGGCTCCATCTCCATCAGCGACGACTCGCGCAGAGGGAGGGAGGGAGGGAGGGAGGGAGGGGCTTTTTGGTCTTTTCCGGTTTCTGGTTTTGGTTTGGGGAGGAGGGAGATAGGGGGAGGGAGATATTTAAAGGGGGAGGAAAATAATTTAATTTTTCTTTTTTCGTGATATGAGATTTTAGGGAATTTTTTTAAATGAAATTAATGCCTCCCACGCGCCACGGCGGCGCGTTGTCTTCGCTCTAAAGTGAAAAGGAAAGCTTCGAGACGGTGCCCTGGAATTTTATTTTTTTTTCTTTTTCTCTTTTGGCCATGACTTGGAATTTCGAGTGTGTGTGGATGGTGCCCCTCGAAAATAATAACTCCTACGTGCAAATTTTTTATTTTTTATTTTATTTTTCATAGTTCAAGGGCACGAGCGCATACATCCGGTACGTCGAAGGCTCGTGGAATACTATGCATGCCCATTAGACTTGTCAAACGAATGAGTCGGATCGAAAATAATCTGACTCAAGTAGACCCATTTCCATGTAACGCAAATCTAATCACCCATACCCGACTCAATCCATACTCGACCTGACGCATGTTGCTAAAACACTTCCATATTTAACTAAATATTAGAAAACTTATACCTAAACTGAAATAAGAGTGCGGGGTGAGTGAATGCGAGATTGAGGGAGGGCGAGAGAGAGGAATTGAGTTTAAATAAGTTAAAAACTCATTTATGACCCATTTACGACCCATTTAACATCCATATTATACTTATACCCATTTATGACCCATTGACTAAATATAACTAATTTATTTATGACCAATTTAATGATAAATGGGTTAAGAAATGAGTTTATAACCCATTTTTACATGTCCAATGCCCACGAACCTATTAAGTCTATGGTTTAACCTACTGAGGTGATTCTCTGATCGAGAGTAGTTTGCACGCAATTTAGAAGATTTAAATAGGCAGCATCTGATACTTTAGATAGAAATTATCGGACACCCCAACCGACTGCACCAGCCCATATAACTATCGTGCATACAATTACCATCTCTTTTGTTGCAACTAGTTATATTTGGTGAAAGTAAAGTACGGATTTATTTACACATATTGGTACCTACATTCATTTTCATCTTATTTACCTCTTTGCTGTGCCGGACCCATTTTGCATTAGAAAAGTAATTGTACCCATCGGTATTTGGTAATTTCCAACATGCCTACTAATGTTCTTAGAAAAGAGTAATTAACCTATGGAAAATTAGTAAGTTTTCACGATGAAATCTAGTTTTTAACCTATATCAAATCAAGAGTTAATCCTTTTGATTAGTAATCTTTCATATTGAAAACAAATTTCGATATCTCTATGATTATGAAAGTAACTCTTTCTATGCGATAATTAAGTCTTTAAATTGGAAAAAGCATCTCAATAATAGTAATTTCTTTTACAGCATGACAGTAATCAGTGTATAAAACTACTTAATAATTGCCTTAATCAGCTTTGTACACACACATATATATATTATTTTGCTTAATTCGATCCAATGATTTAAATTATTTTAATTAAACGCTGATGGTTTAAATTGCAGTTGCATAATATTTATTTTTAAGCTCAATGCTGCATGGAATCCACCGCACGTGTCAATTTGCTATTCAATCTTGTTGAATGATCCATAAAAGAGTAACCTCCAATGCATTGGTAGATGATTGTCTGAAGCCAATTGCTAGCTGGCTGTCTCACCTTCTATCCGAGTTTCAACTTGCTCAACTTTCTTAAGATGCTTGATAAACAATCTAAATTAGGTCAGAGTCAGACTTATGACACTTGTGTAATAGTACAGCAATGTCAATATTAGACCTGTTAAAATGAGTCATAGACCAATTTTCTTAACGCATAATTGATGAATTGAGATATTACATGTATTAGTTATATTATGTATATGAGTCATAAATAAGTTTAGAATAGTAAAGCCAAAAATAATATGTGTTAAATGAATTCACAATTTATTTAGATACAATCTATATTTATGAGTCTCTCTTCACTCTTTCTCGACTTTATTCGATCTCGCGCACGCTCACTCGACGCTTTTACCTAAATTTGGGTTGAATTGAGTATGTATTGCGTATGAGTCGGGTCTCAATATAAGTCATTAAATTGGTATTGAATGGAAATGGCTCAATTTGGATTAAATGGGTCAATTTGAGTTGGAGTATTTTTTATCCGATTCACCCATTTGATGGGTTTAGTCGATATAATGTCTTGAGATTACGTCTCTTTTCACAAAACCGAAGCTCAACAACACGCCTAAGGCTAGGGTTTAGGACTGAACTGGGAGCAAGCTGTTGCTGCACTGTACAAGTTGAGGTTTTTGAGCGATCAAGACGGCGTAGAGATTTGACCAAAAAAAAAAAAAGACGGTGCCGATAATATTTTTCGGGTTCATTAATAAAAGTACAAATTGGTGGCTGTTAGGCTCTTCAAGTAGCGGTCTACACTACACATTTTAGACCGTTGGATATTTCGAAGATGATTGATTATGAAAATGGTTTTATTTTTTCTTGGAGATTACTGAGAGGTCCCTCTTTGGGTGCAATTATTACCAAAGTGACACGGGACCTGATGGATTGATTGGAGGTTTGCGCTCACTTTCGTCCTCCAATGTCAAAACAAATCAAATTGCCGTGCTGAGGAGGGAGGCTGGTAAAAAGCAATTTGATTGGTGGGACTTAACGTGGAATGGAAAGTGTCAATGCAAAGTAAACCATCACATTGACCAACTTTGATCTTGGAACCAGTGGATGATAAATAGTTTTTTTTTAAGGGGTTGGTTTTGACTTGGGAAAAGTAACTTTTGCTTAATTTGCTCCCAAATTGTAAAAATGAGAGAAATATATTTAAAAAAAATCGTAAAGATTGCAAAAAATTGTACAAGAACAGTTTTGTTACATTTTTTAGGGTTTTGGATATTCTAGATTGAATAATAGGCCTCCACAAATGTTGAATTAAAAGTTAAAAATACGGGTCACCGTAAAATCTAAATCGGGCGTTATTTTCCACCTCCGATCGGACTTTCGGTTGGTGGTGCGGGTATATATTATAGAAGAAGAGGTCTGTATTTTTTTTTTCCCTATCGAGTTTTGAGGATCGTTCCTCCAATCGATCGATTAGTTGAAGTCAAGTACATGGCAATATATTAACCGCCCATTGAACGTATGATTCGGAGGAAAAACACGTGGTCGATTGGTTTTTGATAAGTGTTGCTGCGGTCCAAGACTAGCGGAGCACAGAAATGCAAAAGGCCACTGCTTTGCTCGTCATACGTAACTAATGTCGGTACAAACTTCGAGAGGAAAATCAAGGTACGGAATTGGAATCGTGAGATGGGTGCAGACAATGCATCCTACGAATCCCCGTTTTTTACCACGTTAGTCGAAGAATCGCGACGCACCGAACATTCATGATTGGTCACCTTGAGGTATATAAATCGTGGATTGCGACATATGCTAGCAAGTTCAAACTCTGGTCACGAAAACAAAATGAACCTCAGGTCCATATACAACCAGGCGCTCACTAACAAAGCACAAACGCTGCTGCTCTCCTCCTCTCACATTTAATAGTGACTATGAATCGATGCCAGCCATTGCCCAGGTGGTTGCGTATTAATTCAACTACCAAGTCTCGGCACGTGGTCGATAACCAGAAGACCGAAAATCAAAGTGAACATGTGGCTGCATGGGCACACGCCTATGCTCGTAAAATAAATGATTTGAAAAATATTTATAAAAAAAATAATCTTTTATATCGCTCGATAGAATTAGTCAATGAAAAATGTTTCACATCCACATAAATTTATGTTTAAATATTTTCATGAACGACGTAAATATTTTTCGTTTGTTCTTTTTTGTAAGCGATATAAGAGATCAGTTTTAGGAAAATATTTTTCAAATCATTCATTTTCCTCGAAATAAACAGAGCTTTAAGTTAAAAGCTCACTTGTGCACCATGATCGTCTGCCCCTATCTCACATCTTCTCCATCAGATATTGATGTGTCGATTCCGTTGTTGCCCTCGACTCACCGCTGTCGTTGGCCGCCGCCGCCGCCGCCGTCCTGATCGGCACAGCCGACTTGGTCTTGACAAAAGTTAAGCTTAAGGCATGCGATTTTAATTAGTAAACTCAAGTAACCCTCAATAGATCCCGTTGACATAATCTGAAATAGTTCTGAATAGTCGGAATGTGAGTTATTGGAGGCATTTCGAACCCTGTCAAGTCTTTGGTGATACATATGTTATGGTTCTGAGTGGGTGACTAATGCGCTTCGACTTAGTGATGACTAGCACGTCAGACCTTAGGAGGGGGAGCTTAAGCTCAAGGCTCTCACTCTTACCCCTAAGAGTTAGCATGCTTCAACCTTTTTGATTTGATATTAGGGTTAACACCACGAAAAACTCTAAACTGGTACATTTATGATAAATTTATCTCAAACTAATTTTTTGACCATCAAAAATCTCAAACTGGTACATTTATGACAAATTTATCCTCCTTTAAATTGAATTAATACCGCGAAAAATCACAATTACACCCGTGACAAACGAATGGTAAAACCATAAATTAGTACACTCCTTAATTGCCACGTGTTATTTAACAAAGCAATTTCACAGTAAAATTTAACAGAAACTAACGGAGGGTAAAATTATCACAGGTGTATCAGTTTGGGGTTTTGGGAAAATTTTAGATCAATACCCAAAGTGGGGTCATTTTCTAAAAAAGGGGTCCAAAGTTGACATAGTGTTAAATAAGGGCATAAAGTGCCTAATTAGTCTCAAATAGGGGCCCGAAGTGCCCAATTAGTCTCAAGTAAGGGCCTGGGTTCGCCGGCCGGTCAAATACTCGCCGGCCGGCAAGCACGTCACTGTTCCGGCGATCGGAACAAGGGCAATTTCATCTTTTACTTTTTTTTTTCTCTTTTCCTTTTCCTTTTCTTCTTCTTCTTATTTTTTTCCTCTTTTCCCTCTGCCGACTATAGCCGGGGCCGGCGGAGGTTGCTGGCCTCAGGCAGAGGCCGCCCTCACCGGCGTCGGGCGAGGGCCGCCCGACGCCAGTAAGGGAAACCTAGGGTCGGTCGGCGAGGGTGACCTCGCCTGCCCAGCCTAGGCGAGGGCGGCCCTCGCCCAACGCCGGCTAGGGCGGCCTCCGCCTGAGGCCGGCAACCTCCGCTGGCCCAGGCTATGGCCGGCGGAGGGACAAGAGGAAAAAAAGAAGAAGAAGAGAAGGAAAAGGAAAAGAGAAAAAAAGAGAGAGTAAAAGACGAAATTGTCCTTGTTCCAATCACTGAAACAGTGACATGATCAGGCCGGTCGGTGAGTATTTGGCCGGTTGTGCACATAATCCTGTAGCCCTTACTTGAGACTAATCTGGGCAATTTCATGCCCTATTTCAAACCACTCAAAGACTTCACGCCCTTATTTGATACTATGTCCACTTTGGACCCCTTTTTGAGAAAATGACTCTACTTTGGGTACTGATTTAAAATTTTCCCTGTGATTTTTGGTAGTCAAAAAATTAATTTAAGATAAATTTATCATAGGTGTATCAGTTTAGGATTTTTTGTAGTATTAACCCTTGATATTATTTCGAATCACCTTTTTAATGCACTCTATTATGACAGATTTGCTTGGCACTGGTCCACCGTTTGTTCTAGAATTTCCGGGAGCTAAAATCCTGAAATTGAAAATAAAATATGATTTTGCCAGGTGTTCAATTAGAGAAGAGAAAGATCTGGCTCGACACACCCCGTGTCACTTTTTAAGACCATGTCAAATCACCATTCTACGTACAAGAAAGAAAGGGGACGTGGATGCCACATTAAAAGACAGTGACTTTCTAAGCAGCCCAACTTTTACAAAGCAAGCACCCAAGTAATCTCAATCCCTCAAGCTCTCCAACTCCAAGAGCTTTCTTCTTCAACTCATTATCAATTGAAAATGACGTGTCCATGGCTCTCTATGCTTTTTTTTATCCAAATAATTCCATAGCTAGCCAACAAAATTTAAAAAAGAAAAAAGAAAAAGAAAATAAGAGAAAAAGTGTTGAATTGCTTGTAGATCCACCTCGAGGAACTTATCTTGAGGGGTGGATGATCCACCATTACCCTTAAGCTTCCCTCTTTTCCCTCTTTTCCCTCTTTGGGGCAGCTTGATCGATGATGAATCTTTTTGTTTTCTCCCAGTGGCCACGGCCTCTTTGGGGCAGCTTGATTGATGGTGAATCTTTTTGTTTTCTCATCAATTTAGGTGGGTCGACAGTTTTGTACTAAGCAAAGTGAAAGGAGGATCCAATGTCATGGAGCCCCCTCCCCCGGGCCACCTGTCGCGAGACTACTCGTCGACGATTTGGACCCCCGTTCGTATATAGTAAGCTCTACTTGAGATATTGGATAGACTCGATCGATGGGTCGTGCTTTGAGAAAAAACAAATTCAAAGTATGAAAGACAAACTCGTAATAGTTTCTCAATTTCGGTTCAAACATTTATATGATTCATAATCCGTATTTTTAAGTGAGACTTAAGTTATCGGCAGTAGGTGTTAGAAAATGCAATAGGAAAGATGAGGAAAGGAGTTCAACCCCAGCGTAGTCGTTAGGGATTAACTACAGTGTGGCAGGTGGTGGTGGGTCCTGCTTAACGTCACCCCAGGTTTACCCCTCCGGCTGTCGGCCGTGCGGGGGGTTCCTGGGTCATCAAAAAAAAAAAAAAGATGAGGAAAGGAGATACGTGAATATAAGACCAATTTAAACTCTACAAACAGACGATATGGAATACTTTAACAATAAAGATGCGAGAATGTGAAAGAGTGGACGACCCCTTTTCCTGCCTTTAGCTAGAGAGTGAATTACGATATTTTGGATCGACATATTCAATTCCAATGGTGTAGATCGTCATTTACACATGCGCAACAACTCATAATTTAAACGGACCAGTTCTCTTACATATTTAGCTCTATATGTGACTGCTCTAGGAAATAAAATGAGTTTCATATTGTGCACACGATTAGCATTTAACCACCCGTCATTCGTTGATGATATTTCCTTTAACCCTAAGTTTCTCTAGCATTCTCTTTGGTTCTTTTTAAATTCTTCGTTCACTCTCTTATCATTGTAGTACACATTATGAAGAGCTATAGTTCAAATTGAACTGAGGGCCTTTGAATTCACTATGATTGTGTGTGCATCTCCTGAATCTCTTTGCCTTCTCAAGGAAGGAAAACAGAACAAAAAAATTCAAATAGAAGTAGAATCAGTTACATATGGAACGGCATGAGGTTAAGATATATTATTTGAGTTGATTCAATTGATAGATTCCCTTTTCTAGGGTTTCCTTAGTAAAGCTGTCCGACACAAGAAAAGCAAACCCATCATTATTGGGAGGGGCACCACCCATGTCTTTTCTTCTTTTAATGAAAAAACGTGTGTAAGAGGCTTGCTTTTTGGTGTTTACTTTGACAAGTTTGTGTCTGTGTCTGTGTGTGGGACTTTGTTGGATGGAATCCATTGGACTTTTGTACATAGTAGACCCGGCAAAGGATGCTTTTAGGACTTGGGTAGGAAAAAAAAGGGGGGAGGAAAATAAAATAACCACTAAAGATGTAAGTAATGATTCACAAAACATTCAGATCATAGGCATTCCAGTAGGATATATCTTCTCAAGTATACAACACGCATTTTATCATATTATTTGATACATCGATTTTAGGAATCGGTCTTTATATCTCGAGCATTATTCAAAAAGAAAACCCTGGCATCATTCCTTGTATGGCCCGCCCCGCCGTTATTAAATTATGTCCTTATGTAACATTTTAAAACTTCAAGAGATAGTCAACAGCGATCTAAGTAAGTTCTTTAAACCCCGTAAAATCGATTACTCGATATGTGAATCACGTTAAGTCAGAAGTTAGTCATCGTTCTGGACTTGATCGGTGAGAGAAAGTTGATTACTTTGTTTAGCGAAAGCTAATCCGAAACATTATACGAGAGCCTGTACATAACAATCCCTCTTAAGAAAGGCATTAATTATGTTTTTTTTTTTCCATTTGCCCCAAACAGTAATCAAAAGAGATGATTAATCAATCATGAGGGAGAAGAAGCTAAGCGTGGTTGAACATCTCCGGAGCTTCTCCCACAAGAAAAGTTGGGAGGAGGGGACGAAGTCAAAGGAAACTGTAGATTTCGTTGTCATGAAAGATATTTCTGCCTTTGAAAAGTTAATCGACTAAAGTAAAACTAGGAGTGAACTGCTTTCACTATGACAGTTTTATATCAGGGGTCTACTTTTTTTTTTTCCCAAGAGAAATGGGCATTTGCTTGTAATATTAGGTTTATTTTACTCTGATTTATGATATATATACTTAATGATGTAGCGGAGTGTGAATAAAGCATTTTGACAAGTAAGTCGTATTCTCACGATTTTTCATTTTTTTTTCTTTAGGGTGGGGCTATTTTCACTCACTTTTTGTGAAATAAAACACGCTTTTTAAAGCTAACTAATCATATGATTTTCGATCTCGATATTACCCTTTTAGTTAATATAGCAGTTTTTTAGATCGCCAATTCAGGGAAAAAAGTCAACTCCAGAAATAATTACAAGGGACAAGCCTAAGAGAATTATTTGAGTATCAATTGCAAGATATCTATAGGTGCAGAAATTTCAGGAGCCAAACTGTATATTCAGATTCATCTTTGGAATTTTCCTCTGATTTTTCAGAGATTCTCAAACAAATTAAAATGGAAATGTTGCAAGGTTCTCTTAAACACTTGGTAAGAGTGATTGCATATGCGGTTTGGGAACACATCATTGTGCTAAAAACTTTGCACTTCTAAATCCACTAGTAAAAAGAATCTATACTAGAATTGTATTTCCACCGAGTATTAAAGTTACAATCGGACGGCTTCAATATTTAAGCAAGATCGTTTTGTTTCTTTCATCATTTCGACTCGGGATCATCTCATCGTTGCCACGACTCAATCAAAAACGACCCCGACGTTAGCGAATACCTGACGCATCGTTCCATGATCTCGCGAACATCGATCGCCCGACTAGCTTCCCCGAAATAATTTCTCGGGGAAATGGACCATCGAACCATTAATGCGGATCGATATTTTGTGCTGATAATTGAGCCTTGAGACTTACAGGCCACCAGAAACTAGAGGGGGGAGGGAGAGACCCCTTCACTTGGGATTTGACCAAAAGAAAGAAAATTGAACAAAATGACCGGCGAGGGTATGAAGGCTTAATTTCGATAGCTACTTGATAGGGCCGCTTCCAAAGCTTGAAAATGACTGAAGAAGCGACCAAATTCACTTAATCATAGAGTGCCTATGATTTTGAACTTTTCTAACCAATCTATTGAGTTTCACATTGCCTGCAAGGCTGCGTAGTTGTAGAAGAAACCCGCTACAACGAGCCTCCAGCTCGATCTTCTCAACCACCCTTTGAAGATCTTTCTTCGTTTCTTTAAAGAGCCCATGAATGAAATTATTAATCTCTCTTTTTCCTTTTTATTGGGCATTTTTGGTTTGTGATTTATTGGTGGTCCGGCCACAGAAAAACAGAGAAAACAGAGACGTACTTATAGAACCGTTCATTTCAAGTCATTTTCCTTGTCTCTTGGAAGTCTAAAACTCTGACCCCAATAATCGACCCTTCTTTCTTCTCATCGATATGTTGCAGTTTCGATTGATGCGCAACTTGTGCAAGCAATCAGGATGTTTGGTGGTTCGAGAAACAGATCCACGTCGATAGTTCATGTGTACCATATGAATTCGACTTCTCGAATCAAAGGTACAATTAAGCCCATGATTTTAGTGCGTGATATTTCATTGGCCCGACAACCTCCGCGGGGCTCCTTGTCTTTCCAAAGAAAATCTCAAATGATAAACCAGGTCAAATTAAATGCTTGCCCCCAAACATATACCACTAGCTAGTGGTCGATGGTGGCGAGAATTGACGGAGGTGCCTCCTCTAGATTTTGTAAAAGGCATTGCGTCTTAAAATGAGCAGTAAAAATGCCTGAAAAAAGGTTGAAGCAGATGAATGTAGCGTCTACTACATTTTGACATGGTACAGATGTGCATACATGTGAGTCAGCCTTACCTTTGTTTAGCCGATTCACCCCGTCAATGACCCAGTAACCTACAAAACTGAGATCGAGGAACCTGCCCGCCGGAAGGGGCACTATTTGTTCGATGGATCGAGGACTAATCAATTATGTTTGCCATCCCTTGAAAGCGCAAGCATCAAGGCCAAGCGATCAGAGCCGGATAATGTGCATCATGGTCTCTTCTGAACTTCCCAGCTTTGATTAAAACTATAAGCAATCTTCTACTTCATCTGGGACATGCAACTTTTCTATCTCAGCCTGTCAAACGATTATAAAGATAAAGAATGAGAAACAGAGCTGACGCTTAGCAGGAAGAGGCAATCGTGAGAATTATCTCAGCTAAAGGAGAAGCAAACTAGAAAGAGGCACATGCATATCCTCATATAACAGCCAAGAATTGGAGACGATAGCTGATTCAGCAAGCAGCGGAATGGAGAAAAGTCAATCACCTTAATGGTGGCAACATCAGTTGCTGATGGTTTTAAATCCAGAGCAAGGCCAAAATGTAGCATGGCCTGCGCATGCATGTTCCGTGACTTGTAAATCTTGCCCATCAGAGCATATACGCTGCTTTCTCGAGGGGCATATTCTTTAAGCTCCTCTAGGACTTCTAAGGCTTCGTCAAGCTTTTCCAGGCTGATGAGTATATTAGCCTTCTGATACATGGGAAGAGGGTTCTTTCTATCAGCTAAAATAGCTCTCTCCATCATCATCAAAGCTTCCTTGCTTCTCTGTCAGATGAAGGAAATAAATATTCAGAAAGACGCAACTAAAACAATAATAATTCATTCCTCTTCAATCAAAGAAATAAATGATTCAATGCAACTAGCAATCCAACCTTCAAGGCATGCAAAGCTGTTCCAAGGTATGACATTATAACTGAAGAACATGGATTTATCTCAAAAGCCATGTGGAAGTGATGCTCTGAGAACTCAAACTTCTCTTGGCGAAGATAAACCATTCCAAGCCCATACCAGGCATTATAGTGTCTAGCATCGACTCTAAGGGCAGTCTGATAACTTTTAATCGCATTTTCAAAATCCTCCAAAGATACATACCTGTAGATACAATGCATAGTAAACTTATGACAACATGATCAAAAATTTGAAACTTAAGCAGCAATTTAGAAGATTTATCCTGCATATGTAACAAATGAAAAGTACAGGGACAAGAAAAGCGAACAACATACTCATGACCACAAAGAGTATGGGCATATGCAAATTTTGAATCCAGCTGCACCGCTCGCTGGAAATTCTTCAGAGCAGTTTCATGGTCCTTCTGCAAGCTATAGCAATTACCCATGGCACACCTGCATTTTATTGAATAAAGGCAGAAGTATAAGAACAAAAGGTGCTTGTTATTGACAGCCCACTCCAACCAGAAACCCAAAGAGGACTTAAAGCATTATCCCATACAATGCATAGGTTTAGCTTATATTGTACTTGACAATTAATCAACAAAACGAATATTCACCAGTTACAGCAAGCAGCAGATCTATCTAAGTAGTCCAGTTACAGATGCTCAAGGAGAAGATTAGGTTCTCAACTAATTATTAGATAGGGCGAAGGTACCATGATTGAGGAGCTAGACGGTCTGCTGCGATCAGCTCTTGAGCTAGGTAACTTAACTTCATATCTTCCTTCAAATGCTGCAAAGAATGGAGAAACAAAATTAGCAAATGATACGAAACTCAAGCAAGTAAACAGCTCAATCCACTGGCATCTTAAGAAATGGAGAGTCACAGATAGAAACCAGACTACTGTTACTTGAACTTGCAAAAGCTGGGAGACAGATTTACATCTCAATCTGACAACAGACGAGAGCATCTGAAGAATGGAGATCTTACATAAAGAACAGTTGAGTAAATATCCATTCCTTCTAAACTGTAGGGAGATGCGCGACGAGAGAGATTAAAGGCTTGATCAGCTTCCATATAATTGACCAACTGAAAGTACGCTTTGCCAACCTGCAATTTTGCCATGCTCGTTCACATAACGCATTGTTACTGCACGTACACTAGCATTGCCTAATGAAAATAGACAAAGTGTCGTGAATTTTTCTGCTTATTCCAACACCTAGCAGCAAAGAAACTTTCATCTTCTTTTCAAACCACTGAGCCAGCACAGACAATGAAATGTAAATGCATTTTCAGGATCCCACCGCAATCTATAAGATTGCAGCGGAAAAGAAAGCCAACAAAAATTTCTTGTTTTAGCTTGACATCCTATAGTATCTGTATTTGTCTAACTGATAGTTACATGCCAAACCAATATGCTCAAAGAGATCATAACATCTCGTGAAGGGGAATTTTCATCAACATTACCTGTGAAAGCACCCAGCCTGTATTGTAATGCCTGTGTGGAAGTCTTGAGTAAATATCTAGTGCATCCTGTGCGGAGAAAAAACATAATCAGAAAAAGGAACATTATAAAGAAGATGAGAACACAATCTTTGGCTATTACAAAGGCAATTCAAAAGTACCTGACATCTGTACATGCAGGAAAGCCTATAGGCTTCCCCGAATAATCTTAGCAGACCTAATACTTCTGCTGTGCCAGTTAAAACCCTTGCACTAGTCAGTACAGGCCCAGCAACAGGCATACTTGCTCCTTCTTGATCAAAGGTTCTATTGTCCCCCGAAGGACAAGAAAAATTTGCCAATGTAGGATTGAAACGAGAATCATCAGTAACCTCATTCCGTACTCCTAGAGGATGTGAATAAAGACAATTTCTAGTCATTGAAATCATTAGAACAGAACAAATGAGGACTTCCACTAAAGTAAAAGCAGCACGATTTTGAGGTTGCGAGAATCCAGGACACATCTACTGTGAAATTGGAAAAACAACCCAAAAGAGAAAGCTCTCTGCCCATTTGAAATAGAAACAAGAACAGGAGAAAACTATACTTCTGCACATTTATGCAAATTTTGAACAGAGAATGAGATATTTCAATGAATCTTCCTTCATGCCGCGAAAACCACTTTAAAACAATAACACTATACAAACACTTCATTTTGAGCCACAGGTTTTGGGACTCAATGACAGGAACACAAATAGCCGAAAGGGAGATGACCACTGCTCACTTCCATAAACATTTCCAAGTTGTCCAACAAAACATATGATGTTTACATCCCTTATTAGTTAACTATGCCCTTCACAATCTTAACAAAGCTAAGCAAACAACAAGGACTTCTAAAGGTTTCCAACTCAAAGAAATGAATTTTCGAATTATAATTGTCTATGCGTTTTGAGAGGCAACCATGGGGTCCTAGAGGCTGGATCATGTTCCCATTCTTAAGTGGGCACTTATCCAACTGTTTTCTTTACATGCAGGATGCACTGCCATTAAGGAATCGGATTGATTCCTCACTGCTTCAAGCGTGACATCCAAATTTAACAACCACTAATCTATACTTGACAACTTATTACAACAATTTGAGAATATCTGTTCACAGCCCTTCTTAAGTTCCAACTGATTCGCATAATCTAAAATTCCTCTTAATACACCTAATAAAAGAAATTGAGATTGTTCTAGTTCAGATACCCTGCAAAACAAGAATCCAATAGGATTAACACTGACTTATTTCGGTTCCAATGAATGCCTAAGCGTACAGTTGAGCGTGCTTCATACTCGCCATGAAAACCTTCTAAATTCAAAACCATCATTAGACCCATGAACATGTGACCTTCCAAGATCATATTCGCTTACTTGATAAAACTTGAAGCACAACCATGCCCATTCTCTTACCATCAAAGTGATAGAGCATGCCTTCTCTTATACAAATATGATGCAGTAAGATTCTTCTAACTCATCAATTTAAGTAAAATCAGAAAATCATTACTTGATCAGAAACGTCACCTTCATCAGAATTTTCACCAGCCCAAGACTGTCCTTTTCGGAAGGTCACTGCACGAAGTGCTGCAGAACTCGGTTTTGAACTTCCAAGATACTTAGAGGAGTTGCTAGCACCATTTCCAGCAGCTGATGTTGCATTTGTAGTTGCATTTGCCGCTGCATCTCCAGCAAGTCTTGTACTTCGTCGAGGACCAGAATCAGAAAACAATCTTCCCGATATCTGAAAGAGATATGAATTATGAGAAGAAACTTGAATTGGTCTTTGTTAGTCCGACCAGCTATATTCACCTCAATATTGAGAGCGAAAAGGGGCATGAATGCCCTATAACAACATAAAACCATCAACTCACTATTTTATTAGCGTAATAAATTCATTCAAATAACTCAAAAGCTGATATACAATAAAATTAGTCTTCTAGATGTCTTCAACTAAGAAAAGTGGTCGGCATAAGCTTCTGCTGAATAAGTGAGAACCCTCTTTATCGGCCTACTTCTTTTCTTTTGTGGGTGGGAAAATTCTCAGCCTATTATTCTGCCGAGGACTCCAGAAAATCTAAGGCCCACCTCACATACCTAGATTTTCCTGTTAAGCCCAAGAACTGATCGTGTAGGCACTCAAGCTAATATATATCTAACTGTTTGAACTTGGGTGATGACTCCCATTAAAAAAATGAAACTGCAATTGTCATATTGTCAGCCAATCTAAACCAGCCATTTAATTAGACAGAAAAAAAAATTTATTACCTTTCGCAATTTTCCTTCATCTACAAACTTTCTTCGAGGAGCTTGAATCGTCGAGTTTACAGTTGACCTTGGGGAGCTATCAACGCCAAGTGCACTCAAGTTTGGTCCATTTGGCTGCAAATTTCTACACGGTGGTGGGGGTGCAGCACATGACAACTGCAGAGACTTTAAAAACAGAAACATCCAGATGATCTATACTATAAAAAATATTAGATGTTAAGAGCCAAAATTGGATGAGACATAGTTATATGAGCTTACATTTATTCTAATAAAGCACTCGACACGAGAAAAGAAGTTGCTGTTCCAGTCTTATAAAAACGGAGAGAAACATCGTTAAAAATTTAGGCTGATAAGTCATCACATCCTTTCAATAGCTTTTAACAGAAGGGCATGCAATACACCGCAGCCTCTTGTTAGTCAGAGTGGGGATGGTGAAGCAAAGTAAGAGTTATAAGGTCATTAAGTTTAATAAGTTTCATAAAAAATTAATCTGACTTTCTATAGCCAAAAGTACCCGACTTCTTTCCCAAGTCAAAAATGACTCCTGAGTGTAGGGAAATAACTTCCATTGAGACGAAAAACGACATAAAGAATCTAGACTTAAGCAAGAATGACACAAGGAGGGTTTGTGGCTCCAATATGTGGAAAGAAAATGGAAAATTCCTAGTAAAAAATGTAGTACGATGGGTAGGCTTCCTTTGCTCATTTAATTGCAAAAAACATCTGTTCTTTTCTTACATTAAAGCTGACAAAATATGATTAAATCATAGTTAACACAATAAGTAACATGCTGAATAAAAGTATCAATAAATATATATTTCCTAACAGAGATTATTAGCATTAGGGATGTAATGTGAAAGTATCAGACAATTTGCATTGAAACGCTAGGAACATTGATTTCCGCGATCCTAATAACTGGCGTATCATAAGACAAAACGTGCGTGCCACTCAAAATTACAAACTTCCAGGTGGTAACCCTTAGTTGACATCGTGGACACCAACTTGTAGACCAGTCAACTTTGAAAGAGTTCAATCGGAAATTACAAATCGAACCAAATAGCAAGGCATAACTCAAGTGAAATTGAGTTATTAGCTTGTCATGCATTTTACCAGATGACTCATTCAGTTATATTAGGGACGGCAATTCGTGCCGCGTCTCATATTTGTATCAGTTATTTGTGTAATTTCATTCCCTTATTAAAAAATTATGAATTTCGGTTTCTCATTAATTTGCTTAAGACGTGCCAATTCATGTACATTTCGAGTTGTTCGTGTCACATTCACGTTTCTCTCAAAAAGTTTGTCTCATGTTTGACTCGTATTATACGATCATTCAAGAATTGGCACCCCTAGCCATGGCAAATAGCAAAGAATATGGAAGTAATAATTATCACCCATTCAGACCAAATTAAACAGTACCTTACCTGTGTAGCAACTGGGGAAGGAGTATTATATTGAGACAACTGAGAAGATCCACCGTTTAGAGGCTGACCAGAACCTCGGGAAGACGCAGTAGTTCCATGGTAGCTTCCGGCAACATCTCTTGCATTATTGCCTAGCATTTGTTTCAGTTGCCTTGAGCTCACATCATCCATTGACCTCCTGGCTGTATTTAAGTTGTGATCCTCACTTGACATATCTGCATTTTGAGGGGAAAACCCATTGGGCAAGTATTGCTTATGAATACAAGCAGCAGCTGCCTCACCGAAAACTGCAGCCGCTTCTTCAGCAGAACCTAAAAAGTCATGGAAAGATGATGAATGAGACTTGTATGTGGAGAAAATCCTGTACATGACCACCCAGTGACAAGGTTAATATTCACAAAGTAGTGGGAACCCAATGTGGCAATATTATGTAAGATTCAAGTAGCTGTCATTAGATAAATGCCACTGTGGAAGAAACGCGATAACCTCAAACTAAATAGACAAATACTCCAAAAAACTCAATCCCAATAGGCACTTCTCTGCATAAATACTTGAATATAGGTTTACAATTGTAATAAAACTAACACAGAATTTCAAACGTGTGCTTGTCATTGCCATCATACTACAATTACAATAAACAAAAACATGGAAAAATCCCCAGAAACAGGGAATAGGCAGAAAAAAGTTACTGCTCTGCGCAGGGAACATTTCCATGTTTTATTCACTGGACAGTGTTCATATAACATTTGCTGAAGAAGTCGACTAGTACTTGAGAAGTGTAGACCAGGTCAATTTAATTCAAATGGTTTTCTACTACTTCCATGTCCATCTACTAAGCACTTCAAATAAATAACATCAAACAAATCAATTTATTGAAATATGCCCAATTATCATCACCGAAACTCAGAATCACGCAAGAGAATAAGGATATCTTTAGCACAAACCTAAGGCACAGAGCTCCTCATATGCAGCCCACAATAAAGGATCTGTTGACAGAGCTTGCTTGAAGTGATGGATGGCACCTCTCTTTCTATCAGTATATCTATGAGACGCAAACATAGAAAGGTAAGGAACTTTCTGTTTATGCGAAAACAGATTAACTAGCAAGAACACCATATTCTCTCACAATACTTTAGTCAGGCAAAGATTATGCCGTGTCTACACTTATAAAGCCAACAATGAAGAATGCAATCTTGAACCATTTCCACACCAATGAAACATGGATAACCTAGAAAAAAGCACCAGCATTTGCTAATTGGATTACACTGACCATAGATCATATAACAAATCTAGCATTTGCTAAGACTTATAGCTCCCAATCGTGAAAACTATGTAAGCTACATCTAGACATACAGAAGTTGGGCTTTGCCATGCTACAAACAGTGTAAAGAATTCTGAGAATGGAGCGAAAAATGGGAAATGGAAGAGCTAAAACATCATGCTAAATTGTTCAAGGGTAAAGCTTTTCCTTCCACCACTAGCTTATTTGCGTTAGTACGATTACAATTTTAATTTTGTAGACTGGACAAAATGTGCATGGCTATTTCCTTTTTGTTTTGAATAAGAGAGTACATCCTCTTACCTTTTCTTCCTTACAGGAAAGCAACAGTTACTATCTCACTTTCCTCCTAAACGGATGGCTGCATCTTACTGCCCTCTTTTTTGGCCAAATACATTTTACTGTCCTTGAAAATGCAAATTTTTAATGCAGTTCTTGATTCCCTCCCCTCCTTCTTTAAAAAGAAAAGGAAACACATCATAGGAAAAAAATGATGAAAGTATAGCAGCCTAACCTTATACTACATCTTGCTTCATTTTTTAAAAGAAAGCCCGTGACAATAAGTAACAAAAGGGAGAGTGATTCACAACCTTCAAGAATGAAGGAGGCTGTGTGAATCATTTATTGTTGCATGTAATTGAACCAGACTGATCTAGACTATAGTTTTTCAATCTTTCAAGGGGGAGAGAGACTGATTCACAAAAGGGGGGTTGCAACGTGAAGTTGGTGCTTGGAGAGATGCCATTAATTCTTCTGTCAGAAACAAGGAAGTTACTCAGATGGCTCCTCTACTTGTCTTTTAGCTCATTGGAAGAAAAGAAACAAGATGATATTTCAAGGAGTTAATTTCATGGTTTTCTTTTATGAATAATTAGTAATATAATAGTCATTTTTGCTATGTTGGGGACGTTTGATTTCATACTTCTAGTTTGTTGGAAATGTTAGAAACAAACTTTGGCGCATAACTTTTGTATTTGGGAGGCTCCCCCTCTGAAGTCGTTTTGTAATGGGCCAGTACCCCTTGGTACCTCTTCAATAGAGTTTTCCTTATCTCTGACGAACATGGTAATTTCAGAGAAAGAGATTCTCAAACTATTTTTGCTTATTTCACCTCTGTCCACATTTTAGATATGACATAGCATCTATATCACCAACTACAAAAAAGAGAAACCATTTTAATTACTCCCGATAGACAACGTATACAAGAAGGATGCTATCAGGATGATTCTGCAAAAAATGCAATAACAACCTGTAGATAAGGCCAAGAAGGTAGTGACCAGCAGCACCATTTGGAACCTGCTCGCAGCACAGAACAGCAATTAGCAAATGACCACATCCATCAAACCAAGACATAAGCAATACGAGTTCTGTCAAACAACATGAGGTTAGACCGATATAAACCACATGCAATGAGATTTAAACTACTATGAAATAAATCGAGACCACCGGCTTCATTTGCATAGGCAGGTCACATACCTCTGCCCCGGGCTCATTGGCAGGGCATAATGCTGACTCGGCCTCTTTGAGCAGATCCATCTGAAAACACGATATTGCAAACAAGTAGCGTGATTGAGGCATCTGTGTCCCTTCACATAAAGAATACTTCAATCAATCAGGGAAACAAATACCCAAGAAACTTTACAGAAGGAACCCAGTAGAGAAGAAGGGGTGGAGGGGCGTGACCCCAGGATAAATGAGTAATTCAGCAAAAACACAAAATTATCAGCGAAACAATGAAGACACAGGAGACCAGCCCTACCCTTCAGAATATGGTAAGCACAGTAAGCTTGATTGTTGTGCAGGTAGCAACCAGCTAACAATTGCCGATTCACCTGAAAGCAACCGAACGACCCAGAACTCAACTTCAACATAACATATAAAAAAGGAATACAGAACATGCTAAAAAAAACAGAAATTCATAAATCCGAAGCTTCATAAACCGATATGTCCGAACCCAACGGCCGCTAAAGCGAAAAACCCACAGAAAACGAAAGCGCCAGGGAAGCGTCCAAATCACCAGCGCACTAAAAGAGGAGCTAGCAGTGCAATCGCATAATCACAACAGTAAAAGTTCGCTCCACTGAGAGCAAAAGCTAGACATCGAATTCGAGAAGCACGGGGGACTGCAGGGAGTGAGATTGGACACTGATGGAGCGAAAAGAAGTCGCACCCAAATCTACCGGAAGAGAGAGAGAGATTGGAAACGGACGACGGAATCCTCAGCGCGCATCGCACCACGGCAACCAACGCAAAAAGAGACGCACTCGATTCGACGCTCGAGCTCCTTCGGCGAAACAATTCAGAAGAAGAATCGGTGAAAACTAACCTCGGAAGGGAACTCGGCGCACAGGCGCTCGCACATGAAGATGGCGTTCCGGTACATGAAGTGCCGCAGGCTGTTCTGCACGCAGTCCGCCAGCATCGCTTCCATGGCTGCCTTCGCTTCGCTTCAAGAGAGAGGGAGGGAGGGAGGGAGAGAGAGAGGGATGGCGCTGGGGGCTTCTTGCTTGCTCTCTAGCAGGTTTCAAAATTTGCGCCGCACGTGCCGTCCCCTGTTTCGAACGACTGCGGTCACGTGACATGGTTTGTTTTTTTTTTATTCATCGCGGTTCGGTTTCGGGCGGGCGGGCGGGCGGGCCCCAGACGGGAGTTTCATTCGAAAAAGCAAGCTGCGGAGTCTAGAAGTAGAACCCAACGGGTAACCCATTCGATCGAGCCGTTTTATTACCCGTCACGCGATGCGACAACTAATGTGTTGTCGGAAATTTCGGGACGTAAAAAATCCGACTTTTCTTTTCTCTGGAAAAGATCATTTTAATCTCTGTTTTGCGGCGGTGGCGTCATGGACCGATGAAGCTCGTCGTGGGCTCGGGGCGGCGGTGCGGTGGAGACATGTGTCACAATCAAGAGTCCACCGTGCCCATCTGATCGAGAAAGTAGGCCAAGGTAGCCCATGACTTCAGGCATGTTATTCCATAATATTTCTGTATCTAAAGTTTTCTAAGGGACTCGAGAATGTTTAAAGGGTATTATGTGAAATGTATGCTTGTCGTTGATAGGTAGGTGCTGGGAATCATTTAAAAATTAGGTACCATCTCCTCATTTGTACCATATAAGCATCTGAGCAATATGGCTAGGGGTGTAAATGGGTCGGGTTGGGTTTTAATGATACCCTACTCGACCCAAAACTCATAGGGTCATACTTGACCCGCCCAAACCCACCCCAAGACCCTGTTCAGCATACACCCCAAGGGTCGGGCCGGGCCGAGTCAGGTTGGGTTGGGTCGGAGGTTGGTTGGTTTTTTTTTTCTTTTTTTTTTAGATAGATGACAAATGACTTGGCATTTCGTTTGTTAATCCCCTTGAGCAACAGGTTCTCGGCGTCATAATTCTTGTAAAGCTTATGTTTTCTCCCCTTGCAGGTTTAATACCTTCCTTTCACTAAAACCTTTTTGTAGGGGCAAAAAATTTCTAATTCATAGAAAAGACCACATCAAGCGAATCCCAAGGGAAGAAAATGACATAAATGCGGGTAAATAGCAAAACATAACACAGTGCAATGGGCTAAGCAAACAAAGTTACAAACACTAGATAAAGCATAATGAGGATGAGCAAGCACAGAAGCCTAATAGAGTTCGTAGTGTTAAAATAAAACGCTTAGCAACAAGAAATGCGGGTAAATAGCAAAACATAACGTAGTATCAAAGTGGCACAACAACTACTCTCTCGCATGAAGAGCCTTTCTCTATCATCTGGATAGCTTTGCCCTAAACCCTGTTTTCCTCCCAAAATCCCAAGAATCCATATCCACAACAATACCATAGTTGGTTTCTACTCCCTACCCTTACACCTTTCCAAAACCCTTAACTTCTCTGTTTCCCATTCTAAATGACGACACTTAGATCCAAAATCCCGACTTTGAAGAAAGAGGCGCAACCATAGCACAAAGGCCGCGGGTTTCCAGGTGCAGTCGTTGGTTTATTAGTTCCCTCCTCTGGCGCCACTCCTTCCCAGAAGTCCACAGCCACTGTTAACCTTTTTTTCAAGGTTCAAAAGCAAAAGAAATGGCGTAGAAGAAACCCACGATGGGTGATAGTTGTATCCAGAATGGGTCCTTGTCCTTCTTCTGGTAGGTTCCCTTCTCCTCTAGATGGTTCCTCTTTTTGGGTCCCTAAGGAAGAAACACAACCGAAACAAATCGCAAGTTAGGAGCTTTAGGTTGCCTGAGTAATAGATATCTAACAATATGGGAGAAAATAGAGAATGGGAGCTAAGGATGGCGGCATTGTGTAGAAGACTAGGACATCTCTGGACAGGAAGAAAAATCGCTGTGTTAGATAATGTGGTTACTGAGGATAAACTGCAAGAGTGTGAACGTACTGTTTTCGGCAAGCTTTTTGGAAGCATGTCTGTTAATTTCCAAGCCTTCCAAGCCACGATGAGGAAAGCATGGAAATCGAATTCTGTCATTTGCAAGCATCTACAGCCAGGTCTATTTTCATTTGAGTTTGAGTCAGTGGAGGTGAGAAACAAAATACTGAACTCTGGACCTTGGTCCTTCTCAAGTCATTTGCTGGTATTAAAGCTATGGGAGCCAAGTATGCCTCCACATTGTATTATATTCGACTCCTCTACCTTTTGGGTTCAAATTCATGGATTACCTATAGAAGGGAGGTCTGAAGCAGCAATAAGAGAAATAACAGGAAATGTAGTTGAAGTTTCAGAAGTGTGCATAGAAACAAAAGGCTTTGCATCCATAGTGGTGGGGAGAGCTAGAGTTATGTTAAAATTATCAAATCCCCTTTCCTCAGGCATGCTTTCTAGTTTTAGAGGCAAGGAGCATTGGTTGGACTTTAGGTATGAAAGACTTCCCCATTTCTGCTATTCATGTGGGGTTATTGGACATTATGCAAAAAACTGTCAACTTGTGCCTTATGAGGTCGAACTCATGTCCAAAACTAAAACACTGCTATACGGGCCCTGGCTAAAAGCTGAAGAGAATTCTATTAGCCCATTTTGGACAGCCTATTATGGGGAAATCTATGAAGTGGAAGATGAGCAGGAGATGGTACTGGAAACCCCAGAAAATTCAGGATTGATCACAGTGGCGCAGAATAAAGAAGGTGGCTCGCATACACGACCACACAATATACAAAAGGATAGGGGTAAGAGGAAATTAACGGAAAAGGAGTTGCTGGCTATAGTGCACATACCAGAAATCGAAGTAGATGCTGATCTTGAATTAGCCTCTCCACTGCAGATAGACATATCCCCATCGCTGATAGCAGGTGAAAGACTGCAAAGCAACTGTAGAAAGCTGAAGGCAAGGAATCATAAGAAGAGCAGAAGATTCGGACCGTATGATCAAAAAACCTCGGATGGCCAAGTGCTAGATGAAACACAGCTTTTAGAAACTCCGGTGCAACTTGCAAAAGAACCCAATCAATGGGCTTTGGTGGCTAGCCCTAATAAGCCACCGGGTTACATATGAAGCTATTCTGTTGGAACTGTCAGGGGTTGGGCACACCCTTGACAGTTCAAGCTTTAAGGGCCATTATAGCCCAGAAAAGGCCCGAGGTGGTTTTTTTTATGGAGACCAAGAACCAAGATTTTACAGTTCGCCGTATCAGCAGGAATTTAAACTTTCAAAACTGCTATATTGTCAATCCGGTAGGGATTGGGGGGGGGGGGGGGCTTAGCTCTGATGTGGAAGGATGGAATTTCTTTGAAAGTTAATCTTTCCACAAATGAGTTCATTGATATTACTCTTCAAGACGATGAAGTGGGTAAACAATTCAGAGCTACCTTTATTCATGCCCCAACATCGTTCCAGGATAAAATTAAATTTTGGGAAGAGGTGAAGATGCTGAGTAGCCAAAACACCTTGCCTTGGGTGTGTATAGGGGACTACAATGACATTTTGAATTACTAGGAAAAGCTAGGGAAGAGGCCTCCGGAACAACATAGACTAAATGCATTTAGAGATTTCGTCAATGCTTGTAGTTTAATGGATTTAGAGAGTGAAGGATGCGCATTCACTTGGGTGAACAATCGAGAAGGGCAGGATTTTGTTAAAGAAAGACTAGATAGGGCGGTTTGCAATATTGAGTGGAGAATATCATTCCCTCAAGCTGAGGTTTTCGTTCTACCAGCCATCGGATCTAATCACAGCCCTATATTACTGACATTAGCAGCCGAACCTCCTAGGAGTAAGAGAACATTCAAATTTGAAGCATTCTGGTTGGAACATGAGGATTGTGGGAGGATAATCACACAAATCTGGAAATCAAGATAGATTACAACACTCTAATCTAGTGCAGAAAATACAGGAAGTTTCAAGGGGATTGGCAGCTTGGAGCAGGAACACTTTTCAGAACAGCCACAAGAAGATTAAAGAGTTGCAAGAAGAACTCATGCGCATAACAAATGATTACAATCTGCACAATAGTCAAAACAAAAGGAAGGCCATTACTGAACAGATCGAAACACTGTGGAGATAGGAGGAAATGTATTGGGGAATGAGATCCCGAATCAATTGGCTGAAATGGGGTGATAAGAACACAAAATACTTTCACGCCACAACGATTCAAAGACGACAGAGGAACAGAATATCGATGCTCAAAAATGCAGAAAACATATGGATTCGTGATCTGGAGAGGTTAAAAGAAATGACAGGGGACTTCTTTCAAAAGCTTTATCATTCGGAGGGCCCCCGACAATTTGAACCTGTTTTGCAACAGTGCTCTACTATTGTCACGACTGAGATGAACCAATATTTGACAGCTCAGGTCACAATGGAAGAGGTCCATACAACATCATTTCAATTAGGCTCATTGAAGGCACCGGGACCGGATGGATTGAATTGCCAATTTTACCAAAGAAATTGGGAAAGCTTAAAAAATGGGATTTTTGAAGAAGTGAAGGAATTTTTTCATTATGGAAATCTAAACCCAGAACTGAACAGAACATATATCACTTTGATCCCAAAAGTTCATCACCCGGAAAGCCTTGATCAGTTCAGACCTATCAGCCTTTGCAACTTCGCATACAAAATTATCTCCAAAATCATGGCAAATAGATTGAAGCAGTGGTTGCCAGCGATAATAGAAGGAGAACAAAGTGCGTTTGTGGCCGGTAGACAAATACAAGACAACATTCTGATTGTTCAGGAAGTCCTTCACCAATTGCGTATCAGAAAAAGGAAAAAAAGATTCCAGGCAGTAGTAAAACTTGATATGAAGAAAGCCTATGACAGGGTAGAGTGGGACTTTCTTGAGGCTACTATGTTGAAAATGGGGTTCTGTAACTGGTGGGTGCAGAGAGTAATGAAATGTGTCACTTCTGTCTCTTTCAGTGTTAAATTAAATGGAGAACCACAACCCTATTTTCAGCCTACTCGGGGGATAAGACAAGGGGATCCCATTTCTCCCTATTTGTTCATCATAGTAGCAAACACACTCTCCAC